CCCTACAACTGTCACAACCTCCAACAATTTGTATCTAAGAAAACATTTTTTTTCCCAGACTTCAAATTCTGTTGAATATTTACAAACATGTAAACACCCTTATTGGATGTCAGGATCATTTTTGGTTTGGACAGTTTGTGAGGGAATTGGAATACTGATAATGCCTGTTGCTAATTGCTCTTCAGTATGGCTCAGCCACTTTTTTGAACCAAGAAATTCCTGCTTTGAATTACCACTTTGAAACCCTCTGCACTGACAATAATGCATTTATTTTTGGCTATATTACACATAAATTGATTGATTGGATCATCTTTTCACATGTCAGTTTAAATGCAAGCTCTACAGGAATTCAGCTTGGACAGATTTGGCCTATATACAAATAAACCAATTATTAAATGTTTCAGTCATCAATATTGTACTGTTACTATATTGTTATCCTAACTGAGGCAATTAGATACAATTTAGTCTTTTAGCTACTGTTATGGGTCTTTCTTCACTATTTATTGGAGTGGATTGAAAAGAGCCATGACAAACTCATTAAGCATAAAACAAAAAGGAAAAGAATCCCAATATATGTTAAAAACACATACCTATTTACTACAGCATCAACAAAAGCTTTAAGCAAAATTATGTTAGGGATTTATTAGGAAAACAGGCAAGCTCAAATGTGGTATTAAAATATATTCCTTAAGTTACATGTTTTCATTTAAATGAAATATTAATGTAGGATTAGCAGTTGTAGAAACTGCTACTGCTGTTCATAAAAGCAAAAAAAAAACTCCTAATAGGGGTTATCACACCAGCGGAAAACTAAAATAGTTGTAATTAGTGCCCAACACAAACAACATACATCTTCAGTCACTGAATTTTGCTACAAATTATAAACTTAAGAAGAAAAAGGACAGCTTCAAGATGCTTCTCTTTATCAGCTTATGCCATATGAAGAAACAGTGAAAAAGGCATCACAAATAATTGGCTTTACATAGCTGTTTACATGGTTCATATAGTCATTTGGGTACCCTAAAGGTTGTTCAGTCTGAACAGTCTCTTTTTGGCTGGAGCTGCAGCATACCATGCTGGGTCCTTAGAGAACTGGTACACAGCTCCCTACCTACAGGAGACCTGAGTCTTGCAGACCCATTGTTGTATATGAAAAAAATAGAGAAGTCATGCAGCTACCTTGTTCATCAGTCTCAGTGTAAAACAGGGATATGAGACTGGGTAGAGGGTGAAATGAGGCCTCTCTGGCTCTACAGGCTTAGCTAATATCTAGCTATGCACTTACTGAATGTGCACAAGGTCATGTGTGGTCAACAACTAAGTGGAAAATTACTGAGATGGCAGAGATGTTCCAGAAGGGTACCCAACACACCCACCCTGACACATGTGCCCAGCTAATCAGAGATTATAAATTAACAAATTAAGATAAAACCTTTGGATTTGCTTACACTGCTGGAAGAGAGAGCACTATAATGGAGGAACCCTGCAGTGCCCAGTCACTGAAGCCACCTGAAAGAATAACTCAGTGACTGTTTACTGACCTGGGTAATCATTAAGTCACTATGATTTCAACTGTATGGACACCACATTTTCTCTAGCAAAGAAATTCACTGCTTTGACAGCTGGTCTGTAACACAGCTCCTCCACAAGTCAGAGGGTCAGTACCTGAAGTTCAGTTTCTGCAATTTGTTGGAAATTTCTGGACTGTACTCATGTGTTAGCTGTGAAAGTTTGGGGACCCATTATAAGGCTTACTTAACTTTTTAGTTTAACTTATTTTAGTGTAGGAGGTTCATCATATATTCCCACTAAACACAGAGGTTTCTACCAAGCCAACTGTTCAAAATTGAACATATTTTATAAAAAAAAAATCATTCACACTGTGACATGCTTTACTGAATGAATTTACAGAGTGTTTTCCCCATTTCTCTTTAATTCAACTCACATCACATAAATCAAGAAAGGACCTCTCTAGTATGACATTTAAAAAAATGGGAATATGCCTTCTGCAGCCCACCACAGAGTAATGGTTATGCATATCACAGTCCATTTTCTCTTACCATCAGGGAATCCATCCCAGATTTCCAATCGGTCATAGCGACAGAATGCTCCCCCTGGAGTATTTGAATCAGGTTCTAGCTCAAAGCTTTCAAATTCCAGTATAATCTCTAACATCTTTGGTGCAAAGATAATGTAAGTGCATTCAAGGCTATTGGGATATTTTTCAGGGAATCCAGGGGACTTTATCACTCCACTTGATGAAGTAAAATTTCTGGAACATTCGGGTCCTGTACGAGAAAGAGAAAAATCAACGGGGTTAACAATATGCTACTAAGCAAAGCAGTTAGCTGGAAAACAAATTAGGTCATATTGTCTCTCCAGCAGCAAAGGTGGCTTTTCAATGAAACACCTCATTTTAATCACTGCATTAATCATTCAGCCAGCCTGTTCCTATTATTGATAGTCAGGTTTTAAAGCCCAATTCACATATACTGTCTGATCTCCAATTTTCAATTTGTATGGAACAATATGAAAACTTGTACCAGCTCTAGAAAAAATTATGACAAATACAAAGTCATGTGGGAACAATGAAAGTGTAAGCTGCAGAAATCTTGACAGAGCCCTAGAGAAATAATTATAGCCCCTTCAAGCTCAAATCTTTAAATCTTATGGCTGACAGGCTTTTATTGGTGAAATAGATTTTTTTACGAAAGCGGGTGAGTGAATTCAGTAGAGGGAGTAGTGGTTTCAGATTCCTGGAGCACTGACTCAGTAACTCTGCCAGATGTGACCTATGCCTCCTTGACAAACTAAATGTGAAAGGTAATTCGTACATGTACTGAGGGTGAGTGACTCATTCTGAGTGGTGTTGACACAGGTGCACCAGTAAAATGTTGCTTTTAGTGTGGGCATGATAAACTGTGTGATTACAGGCAGTGTTGCTAGAAGTCACCTAATGTCAATGTTGACACACCAGCTTTCTCCAGTGTCCCCACCATGGCATAATGGGATGCTCCAAACAGTGCTCTTGGTGGAGCAGGAAAGTGGCAATAAAGATGTAAGGGGATAAAATGCCAGGTCACTGGATTTCCCTTTCTGAATGCAGGGGACAAACCGGAGTCTCTCTCTTGTTGCTTGATCACATTTCTCCTTTTTTTTGGTCCCTCACGAATCCTCTCTGTGGATCCCACACCTGCAGGTGCTCAGGAGTCAACCACAGGCACTGCCCATACATCCTCCCACTAGGTCAGCATAGGTACCCTCACTGCCTTTTGACACTCCAGATTTAATGGAGAGTGATTTACAGGACTTGGGGCATTGATGGATAGCAGCTGACCTGGGGAGTTTGAGTAGGATGACTCATATGAAGGTCTTTGGACATGTAGTAGGGGAAGGACACAGACAGCATAGTTTGGTTGCAACAGGCAGGTCTGTGCTGGAGGATGAGTATGTGTGAGGATTCAATTTGCAAGAGGATGCCCAGCATCCTTAGAGACTGTAGTCAGGAGCCTTAGAGGATTTCCAATGCTTAACACAGATCATTGAAGGAAAACAGTCTGGCTTGTTGCATATATGAATACTCTTATTTCACTATAGAAATGTTTTCCTTGTGAATGTGCCAAACATATTACTCCCCACAGATCTGGCCACCTCCCAGCTAAATTCAGCATGCAAGAGAGAGGTCTGAATGAATTTAGTCAGTTCAGGTATTTTTGTCCTTCAACAGACACTGATAGGAAATGCTTGAGCTATTGCATCAATATTCAGAACACTTTGTGGCATATTTTGGAAGATGTGGATATTGATGCTCATGTAACCTGACCCGTTCCAATTTGGGAAATTACATTTTGCCTATAATTAAATCACCCCCTTACGCATTAGTTGGATATTTCTCTTCTCTCCCTGTCATTCCCTTGTCTACTTGTCATGTATGGGAGGGTTATATTCTGGTTGTTGCTCCTCACTCCCACCAGTAGCTGCTGTTCCAGGATAAAATAGCTTTGCTATGCCATTCATAGCATAAAGTGCTCTGTACTCCTCTTGGAATCCAATAAAAGATGCAATATAAAATGTAAGCCAGGATCATTATTGCTTTATTAAATACAGCCAGATCCTGGCTCTGAGAGTGCACAATCCTCAGGCTCCTTACACTCACACATGGTATCTCAATACCAGCTTGCTTTATTTTAAACACGTTCAAGTCAATCTGGTGCACGCAACAAAAATGGTTTTCAGAAGAGCTGACTCACTAAAATGCCCTCCACAGATTTTGACCCTTTATTGACACCATGAAGCAGCTGCAGGAATTAAACCAACACTGAGGCTATGAGGAACTCCACGGGGCGATCTGCATGGAAAACTGGCAGAAAATGTTCCAGCAGAGACCTGACAAAACAGATACTTCTGAAGTGGAGAAACTCCATGTGTGCATGTGTATGAAATAAAGGAAGAGGTATGAGCTGAAGGAAAGAGAGAGAGGTGGCACCAGAGAGAGCAAAGAAAGATAAAGGGATAATTAAATCTGATGTCACAGAGTCAGAAAACCATTTGCCTTCTTGGTTGACACTTGGTTCTTTCAATTTACACCATAAATTTAGTTAACTAAAGTTAGGAGTGTTGAATGTGAACCATGTAGATCCTCTTCTAGTGAATATGTCACTCATCCATCCTAAGATAGGCTGTCTGCTGAAGCCAATATGATGAACATTTCACATGGGCTAAACATTGGGAAAATGGGTTTCATGTTTTAGTCCTGAATTCAACTTCTTCAGTGTCTTTCTGGCTAAGTAGCTGGATGAGAAGGTAGCTTCTACTCTCAAAGTCCATATTGCCTTTATCATGACCATGACCACTACTGGTAACCGGTGTACTGGTCTCTCTTTACAATTTCCATGGTGAGCAGCATTTTAAGCATCAAGTTTAGAATTTAGAAGGCAGCATAATGCATTTTTTCTTACAAAAAATGAAGGATGCTTTCATATGAATAATGGGTGAAAACACACTATGTGCTGGAATGATCAGCCTCCAGCTCAGCACCACAGGACCATGGGATTGGGATCATACCTCTCATACCTTGGAAATGATGAGCTAAATTGTGAATATACTAAACCTAACATACTAGTCTGGTGTGAGCAGCTGAGCTTCACCTGCACAACAGGGTGAACCGGTCGGCTTTATTTGGTACAGATATTAAAATGCAAAATTGGAAGAGCATATATACATTTATTCAGAAGTTAAAAAGGGCTGCGTTCCCACAGCAACTATAACTTGTATGTTTTGTGTATGCATGGCATTTTCTAACTGTGCATGGTGATAACTTTCCTGCATTAATATACAGTTTATGTGGAAGGAACTAGAGTTAAAGTTGCTGTGGGAGCCATAATTTTGAGTTTCCTGACTTCTGTGTGTGTAAAATCACAGTCATAATGCCATATTAACATGGTAAATGTGTATCTTTGAGAGATGTAAATGACCACACAAGGAAAGAAACACAATGTTCCTGTCAGAGCTGTGTTGCCACTACACTATTAGGAAATAAATAAACCCTTTTTTCCTTGAAAATGCTCAGTTACTAAAACAGATAGTTTCACAGGCCATTCTTTCATTTCTTCTTGCGTTTCAGCCTCATTCTTTATGAAGATGGTACTGCATATATACAGTATGCAGTTCTGAAAACATCAAAACACAGTTTCAAGAGTTTAACCTCCAAAAGACACCAAAATAATCAGAGATAATTTTTCAAGAAAGCTTGGCGTCAATTGGATGCTGAATTCTTTCAAAAAATGTGACCCTGAAGGTCAGCAAAAGAATTTCTGGGAGTCAAGAGTGGATTTACAGACAGGGAAGATGGTGAACAAGAGGTCTGTGGCCCCAATTAGCACTGTGCAGAGCAGCAATAGCAATAGAAAAGAGACTTCACTACTGTGCTGCTCCTTATTAACAGTACAGCTGCCACGAGTGTGTTCTGAACACAGCTGAAAATCTGGCTCTGGATTAGGTGCATAAAAGGAACTTGAACTGGTTCTGAAAATGGGGCACTGACTGGGAGTGGTGTGCATTGGAAATTTGGAGTTTTGAGCTGCGTTTGCGAATATGACCCTAAGCGCTGATGTTGAAGTCCAATTGTTTTTTTCTGATAAAATGAAACTTACTGTCTTTTTATATATTATGAATTTTTCGTCCTGTATTCTCCAGAAATGGAATATATTCATTATTAATCTCCAACTAGCTGTAGGGAAGGTGTTTGAAAAAAAAAAAAGAAGACATTACTGCCCTTCTAGCTATTGAAGGAAGAGAGTTATAAAAGAGGGAGTGTCTATATGTCTGGTTAATCTTGCACTGTTCATTTCTCTGGGCTTTTTCTGTGCCCCATACAGCTAACTGTGCTCACTGTCACAAGCATCCAGCAGGCCATGCCTGTGAACAGTGTGAGCTTCTTCTCTCCTTTACCTCCCAAACATGATTTGTGAAAGCAATAGCAACATCATCTGCTGCCCATGTGTACTCTGGTCCTTTCTAAGCCCACAGCCATCTCTTGGGAATGCAGAGCAAAACACTAACCAAAATAAATCAGGGACTCAGAAGGTTACAGTGCTGTTAAGGCAGTACCATTGTAAATCATATAGTAATTATTTAAAAAAAAAAGAAGGAGGAAAGCTAATGGTTTTAAGATGGTTGAAACAAACAGCTGATGAAAACTATCACATTTGACAAAGAGGAGTCAACCCTCAGATGCAGCTGACCCATTGGATTCATGGTGATTTACACCCAACACACACTCTGCCTTGGAATGACTGGGGTAAGAAGATTTTCTCTTTCAAGCACTTTCATGTATTCCCCCTGTTCCGAAGAATTATCTTGAACTTTCTGATGCAAGTCAAAATCACAGATTATAAGCTATATAAGAATGAATTGTTTCTCACCTCTTTTGAAAACTTCATAACGGATAGAAAATCCAGCTCCATGTGTCTCATAGTCGGAAACAAATTTAATAAAAAGATATGGTCCTGAAGACACTAAAGGAGGGGGAGCAATTTTTCCACAGTACTTTCCCCATAAGCGTCCTTCAGCATTATCTCCATCAATCACTTCAACATAATCATACCTGGTAGATAAATGGAAGGAAGAAACTTTTAACTTCCAGGAAAGAAGGAGACCTAATTAATTTAGAAACCATAACACAACATAGATAATCAAGAAAAATGCTAGCTTGCTTGGAAAATGCATTATGCTGAAAGATGTAAGCAAAATGAAATAATTAAAATGGACTACATTATGTCTGTAGACATCATCTGGCAACATGGAACTATTAGGAAGAATGGTGTCCATTATGCTTGCAGACAATGTCAGCTAAAGTAACCAATTAACAAAAAAAAAAAAAAGGAAATCTCATGAGCACAATTCTGTATTATTAAATTGTGTTCCTTTGTCTGTGTAGTGTTGTTATCAATACATAATGCATAGCATTCTTTTCAAACTGTGAAGTTCTGTTATGAATTCAAAAATGTCTTTTTGGCTGCAGCCCTTTATGAACAATACTTTGATTTCCATATGCTGTCCTCCAAACATATGTCCACAGAATAATAAATAAATCCCTAAACATTAGATTTTGTACAAAACTCCACCATGTTTCAGATCAGTGGTAGAAAAATCTGTTATTTTCCTTGTTAGCTGGACAAATAATTTGGAGCAAACCACAAAATCCACGTGTCAGTCACAGCACTTGCTTTTTCTTAGACAAAAATTGTTCCAATACAAATCACCTTTGCTTCGGTATTTGAATGAAGAAGTGCATGTTATAATATTCCTACTCATACAGCATGTGATTATGGGACAGACTGGGCTAAATCCTCTCTAATTCTGAAGGATTGTGTAAGGAAAAGCATAGAATAACTCAACAATGATTAGTAGCAGAGGTTTGCCTGGGAGCAACATCTTAGGGTTTCTCAGCTCTGTCACCAGAGATGCCAGTACGGAAGGTCTGGTCTGACAGAGCTGGTTTCCAGCAGCTGAGGAAAGCAAGCCTGGCAGGTTGGTGTGCTGAACCAGCTGAGGGAATACAAACAAGAATGAAAGTCATGGGAGGCAGAAGCTGCAGGTGCAGAGACAGGTCTGTTCTTAAGTTTTATGAGCAGATGATTTCACTTGACCCCAGACAGGAAGGAGGAGCAGACTCAATCTGTAGAATCAGTCTAATATTCTCCTGGAAGGTGATGGCATTTGGTTGTGCTCTGGACCTCTTTCAGATGGTGGCAAAAGGTTTTTCCTTGCCCCCATGTCTCTGTGTCTCAGCCACAATGCCCTTTCATTTAACAAGTTGCTGTTAGCCAGACAATCTCATTTACTTTTCATTATCCTGCTACGACTGACATTAAAATGTTGCCATTAATTTGTTTAGACCTTTATGTTCTACTGTTCTGTTCACTGAAATGTTCCAAGCATATTAATATACAAGGAAGAGCTAGAAATGACAGGACAATAAAGTGTGTCTGACATTTTTAAAGAGATCAAAGGAAAAAAATGTCTTCATGATGACCAATGTCATTTTTAACAACTCTGCTCCAAACCATCCAGGGCACATTACTTATGTTTACACGAAGTCCCATGAGACAGCTGCAAGGATGATATCACTAGTTAAAGTGGACAGCTTAAGGCTCCTTAAATTAAAAATGACATTACCTCATCAGTTAAAATTGTGTGCCAGCTTTGGTGTATATCAAGTAGAAAATAAAGCTGACACTGATGGAACTGTAAGCATTAACATATGTGAAATATTGTGTTAACTGCATTTCCTCTTATGTACTTAATTTTTCTAGTAGCAATTGCTCAGCTTGTTAGCTTCACTGTCCCAGTGCAGATTGGTGGAAATACAAAGCAGAAATGTGAATTTCTGAGATAATTTTACAGATACTTTAAGTAAGCTGCAGTGTTTAAAATTAGACTTCTGTTCTTTCTATAATGTCTTTCTGACATATGTCTAACAGGATTTGAAAGTTAGAAGGAGAGTTGTAAAGAGACCTCAGAATTGCCATGCTGCCTTTTTTTTGTTCTTCTCAGAAATATCCTTAAGAATACCAGCTCTAGGTCCCTGCAAAACCTACTGGAAGTACTCAGAGATACATGCTGTTAATTTTTAAAGTTTAGGAATAAATGTATGGTGAGAATTTTTGACAAGACAACTTTTCTTCAAATAATTAACTGCTTGTTAAAAAGAAACAGCAACCACGTAAAACCCTGGCAACTGAGTGACAGTCTTCGCTCTTCTCCCCATGATGACATTATTTCAACAGTTTCCCAGGTACCATTCATTTCTCAAGCCTCTAAAGTAAAAAAATTTTCAAACAGTATGAAAAAATTTAAGTAAAAATGCTAAGCAAATTTTACATTCTCTTTTTGTTCATGTACAAAGAAGAAAATAACCTCAAAAGACTTATATTCAGTACTTTTCTTTTGCTACATCTCAAAAATAAACAATCATATAGTCTTACTAAGTCTACCATATGCTGCCAAAAAATAAGTAACCTGTCAGTACCAATTTTGCTATTATATGAAGTAAATTAGGCAAAAAAACCCATTCAAATTATATTCTATCACTTTTCTAGGTTTCTGCCTTTACAGCAATAGCCTGCCCACACCTTTCCATTGTCCATTATAGTGACAGAATTGTAATTTATGGTGCTCTTTCTGGCTGCTGTGCAGTTGTAAATGACACAATTTGGTTACTAAAAGGATGTCTTCTAATGGATTTTGCAAGTTATAGGTCATACAGCCCTGTGGAAGATTGAAGGATTTTTCATTTTTTTTTATTCGCTTTTAAAAATTACTGACAGAGAGAAAAGAAGTTTAGCTGTGAGACAATAGATAAGAAGCACAATTTGGAAAGAGGAAGCTTTAGAGATCAGCTCTACAACCTTCATATTCTAAGGATCATGTCTTTCACTTGGCAGCTAACAAATGATTTGGATTCTCCCACACATGCAATATCCGGGCTGCAGTAAATGAGTATATTATTTCTTTTCTTAGGAAAATGAAATTACTCTGGATTTTACTAGTTTATACTTGGAAACCAACATCCTACTGTCATTTTTGCACTTTTCAAAATCCTACCAGAGACCATAGTGTATCACAAACAACTGGTCTCGTAAATAGGAGAAAGTACAGTCACAACTTGGAAATGGAGTTGCTGCCAAGGAAGCTCAGAAAGCAGCTTGCATCTCCCTCTGGACTTGGTAGCAGTTCTTCTCCATAAGTTTGTCAGAAGATGCTGTGCCAGGGATGCAGTTGGCACATTGGCATCCCTGTGAGAAGACTGAATGTGTCATCTCCGCAGCGCCCAGACAGCCTTGGCATACAGCCCAGAATACTGAGTTTGCAAATTTGGATTTCCCACTTGGCAATTCTTCACTCCGTTACTGCTGTCAATGGTGTGGCAAATATTTCTTGTAATTTTATAGTCCTTTAGGGTTTATGGCACAGAGATGTAAATATAAACATGGCACTAAGCATTGAGTGTAGTTTCAGGTGAAAGACTAGACTACAAGTTCATGTGTGAAAATAGGAGATGCTTGCCCAGAAGAGGGGCCAAATCAGTGGATATGTTCATGGAGCTGCTATGCCACCCTGCAAAAAGCATTCCTTTTTGCTTGTTTGGGTCTTTCCAGTTATCCCATTTCTGTTTGCACTCTCTGTGCAGTGCAAGGACAGTCTGTGGTTTTCAGGTAGGAGACTGCTGAACTGTACTGAGAGAGCTCACACACACTTGCTGCTCCTCTCAGCTGGTGCCTCAATGTGCCTTTACTGAGTTCTGAGTTTATGGTTCAGTAAAACAATGTCTGGGACAGATTCCTGTTGGACAGATGAAGAGATCTAGAATTCCTCTACAAATTCTTTAAGGAATTGTGAAAAACTTGCTCTTTTTTTTGGAAAGCGTAAGTTTTGGGGTCAAGGAAAAGGCCAAGCAATGCCTTTAAAATGAACACTGGGCCACGAAAAACACAAGCAGCAGCAGGATAAGGACTTTGGTGAATATTCTACTTCCAGTTTCTAGTAGGTGATAACAGTGCTTAGATCAGGGTTCAGTTCTCAACGTGCACCATAGCATGTCATACTGCAGAAAGTGAAGTGCTGGAAAGCTCTGCCTGCTGCTGAAGCCAGCCACCCTGCCAAGCTACGCTCTGCTTCTACACATTTTCCTATTACTAGGGCAGTGACATCTTACACCTTTTGCCTAAAAATTTCCATCACAAGACATACGCAGAACTCAGCTGAAATCTAAAAATCTGCCATTTAACCTTATGAAACAATCAGTGGAGCATATAGTGCTATAATCTACATCTGAGTTTGCCATATTTTTCTGCAGCCTACTATGATCTATAGGGTGCTTATGAGTATTTTGGTTATTCACGTGTTAGAATGAAAAGATTTTCCAAGTCCCTGTTTCTTTTATTACTCTAATTCCACATGCACCAAGCTGCTAAGTTTCTCCCTGACGTGAATTATGCTCCCTGGTCAGACTATCTTTGGTTCAGAGAATTTTCTTCTAAGTATGTATCTTTCTTCCGCCTTTATTTTATAAAGAATTTTATTTTTTTTTTATTCCTCACAAGGCTCCATCTTAGTTGAACAGAAGGCATCGCAAGAGGAAATCTAAATAAAGAGTTTCAAGTTGTTCTGCACTGTGGCTTTGTGCCCCATTAGTTACTGAGGGTTAGAGGTGTGGGATTTACTGCAGTGCTTGTGGCACAAGGCAATCTGTATCCCAGAGCTAAAAGCTTAAGAGCTGCAGGCACTCGAGGGACACCAACCTTAATCCCAGTTTATTAGCAACAAGAAAAAGAAGTACATGCTGTTAAAAATAAAAAATCAAGCACAGCCCCAAATGGGCTGATTTTCTGCCTGGAACCTCAGCATCTGTTGGATTGCTATCTGTCTGAGCCTCCTCTGTGCAGCCTGATTGCTCTCCACGGTCTCCTGTAAGGTGACCCATCTAATGGCCACTGGAGAGGCTGACCCATCTTGTGGAGACACAGCAGCCTTCTGTTATGGTTTAACCCCAGCAGCAGCCAAGAACCAACAGCCTCTCACTCACTGCCCCACCAACGGGAT